TAAAATAAACTGACCAAAGTCATTCCTGAGGAAGCCCAGACATTGATTTTGCTAAACAAAGAATGTAATCAACTGTCTTAAATCTTCTCAAAGAGTTAGAGGAAACCATGAGCAAAGAAGTAAAGGAGAACAATGTCTCAATGAACAGAAGATATCAATGGGGAGATAGAAATTAGGGGAAAAAGGAACCAAATAGAAATTCTGGTGCTGAAAATTACAATAACTAAAATGAAAACTTTACTACAGGGTTCAAAGCATATGAAAAGATACTCCACCATCTTTAGTTATTAGGAACACAAATCAGAACCATAATGAGATTATCACTTTATACTTATTATGATGACTATAATTTTAAAATGTAAAATAACAAGTGTTAGCAAGGTTCATTAATTGTAACAAAGATATCATATTACTATAAGATATTAAAATAAAGGAAACTGGATCCAAGATATATATGAATTCTGTGCTACTTTCCCAATTGCTCTGTAAGTCTAAAATATTCTAAAAAACATACAGAATGGGAGAAAATATTTGCTTTCTACAGATCTGATAAAGGGTTGATAACAAGAATCTACATAGAACTTAGGAAAATCAACAAGGAAAAAACTCAAACAACCTCATTAAAAAGTGGGCAAAGGACATGAACAGAAACTTTTCAAAAGAAGACAGACAAATGGCCAACAAACATTTAAAAAAATGCTCACCATCTCTAATCTTCAGGGAAATGCAAATCAAAACCACAATGAGATATCACTTAACTCCAGTGAATATGGCCTTTATCAAAAAATCCCCAAACAACAAATGTTGGCATGCATGTGGAGAGGTAGGAACACTCATACACTATTGGTAGGACTGCAAACTAGTTCAACCTCTATGGAAAGTAGTATGGAGATACCTCAAAAATTAAAAGTAGAATTACCATTTGATCCCGCAATCTCACTACTGGGTATCTACCCAAAGGAGAAAAAGACTTTCTATAAAAAAGACATCTGTACTAGAATGTTTATAGTAACACAATTAACAATTGCAAAGATGTGGAAACAACCCAAGTGCCCATCAATACATGAGTGGATTAATAAAATGTGTCACATGTACACCATGGAGTACTACTCAGCCACAAAAAACAATGGTGAACTAATACCTCTTGTATTATTCTGGATGGAGCTGGAAGCCCATTCTTCTAAGTGAAGTATCACAAGAATGGAAAAACAAACACCATATGTACTCACCATTAAATTGGTACTAATCAATGAAGACTAATGTGAACATATGGAAGTAACATTCACAGGGTATAAGGCAGGTGGGAGGGGGAGCAGGGGTGGGTAAATTCACACCTAACAGATGCAGTGTGTACTGCCTGGGGGATGGGCATGCTTGTAGCTCTGACTTGGGTGGTACAAAGGCAATTTATGTAACCAAAGCGTTTATACCCCCGTAATACTCTGAAATTGAAAAAAAAAATCAAATTGCAATTAAACTGCTGAAGGTGAATGAACAAGTTTATGGCTAATGCATTATTGTGAATCATGGGCTCAACGGTGTTCATTTTGACTACACTGGAAAACACTGTGGACAAGTGAATTGCAATGGTTGATCCAAGAAAGATTAATCTTTCACTCATTTAAATATATTTCATACCCTAAGTAGATGCCAGCTTTACAATTAATTACAGAATTTTATCTAATAAAGACCTGCCCTGGTTAAAAACAAACAAGCAACATCCCTAAAAGAAACCCCATGCCTGTCAGTAGTTAGTACCAGGCCTAGCAAACCACAAATCTGCTTTCTATCTCTTACCTATTTGCCTATTTTAGACAGTTTCACATAAGTAGGATCATATAATATGTCATTTATGATTATGATAATGGTTACACAACTCTGTAAATATATGATTTGTACACTTTAACTGGTGAACTTTATAGTGTATAAATTATCTCAATAAAACTATTAAAAGATAAAAACCAAGCACTTTGTAGAGAAACACAATTTAGACAAAAGAGAAATTGTTGCAAATTTAAAAAGGAGGAAAAACAGTTGGCCTAGAGAGAGCTTCACTCTGTCTCTCTCCTTGACCCCACCCCAATCCCACCATAAATGCACTCTTCCCATTCAGAGAGAAAAATTCAACTATAACAGGTGAAGTGTATAGAATGAACAGAGTCAAAGTCAATAGCATTATATCAGCTATGTTTTCAGATTTGGAGGCTTCAGCAGGAGGGGTTTAAATAAAACTATACTTGGGCAAACACCCCCTGGAGCATTCATGGATCAGCCTGTCCTCATTGTTGCACCAAACTTTTCAACAATTACAGACTTAAAGTGTGAGATTTGGGAAATTTAGAGAGATAATGAAGCTAGTTGTCTGTTTTGACTCTTAATCTTAAAATCCAAAGGAATTCAGATAACCTGTAACTCAAAATAAGAAATTTTTTTTGTGCAACTCATCATGGAGATAGATTACAATGGAATTTGGAATGAAGGCTCCCACTGGTAATCACCAAGCATGTGGTGACCTAAACATAAAATACAGCATAAGAAACATAAGCAAATATTGTCTATTAACCAATTCAGCACTAACAAATCTAACCAACTACATAGTCAATAATAAAACAAAATAGTTGTTTTTAATTTAGAAAATAGAAAATCTACAAAATAACCTAGCAACTTAAAAAAGTTTTTATTTGTATTTATCTTACCATAAACCTCCTTTCAGATAAAATATCATATTTATTTACTTATAAACACATTATCATTATTGTAGTTTTTGTCTAGAAGTGTACTACCTAACATTTTTATTTTGTGTGTTTCTTGTCAAAATGCCAACTAACTCTCTGTCATGAGGATTAAGGTCTCTACTCTTTGGAGATATAAAATAGAGGCTGGATGGGCTTTGGAATCAGGTGGAACTAAGTTCAAATTCTGGGCACTGGAATCAGATGGAATTAAATTCAAATTTCAGCTCTAATGTTCACTGCCTGTGTGATGAAATGTAAATTATTTTGACTTATCTAAGTCCTAGAATTCTCACCTATAAAGTAGGATTCCTGAAAAGGACAAATGGAAAAATAGATATTTATAATATCAAATGCTGAGAAAATAGCAGACATTCAGTACATAATAGCTCTTATAATACTGGGTGGATAGGTGCCTCAGATGTATCTAGAAAAGAAAGGTTCTGCCTCAGGTTCTCTCTGATTTTTTTCATTCAACAAACATTAATTAATTGTCTACTGCATATTTGGCACTGAACCGGGCACCAGAAGACAGCACTAAACAAGTCTGCCTGTGAGCTTTCCTTCTAGAGCTTTTCCATTTATTCAGTTGGCTTATAATATATTTACATGAGAAAAGTTCCTTTTTTCAGTTTTCCTGAAGATAAGCAATAAAATATCTTGGCTTATTTTGCAAATTATTTTATCTAAGAAAATCTTTTAGCTAGCCCATTATCCCTAGTGTTTGGCTGTTTATCAACTATTCAAAGCCCCAAATGGGACTGGGGAAAGAACATGAGCTTTGATAACAGACAGTGTGTTGGAATTTTAGTTCCGCCTTGTGATCTTGAACAAGTTGCTGACTTATTTTAAATTACTATTTCCCTGTCTATCAATGAGGTTTAACCATAACCATTCAACAGTACTTTTGTGAGGTCTAACAGACACGACATGGTGTCTGACTTATATTAGGTTCTTAACACATGGTAGCTGTTATAATTACTTACTAAAATCCCTGTGAATATATTTTCATCATGTAACAACATGGATAATTGTTAATTAAGACATATATGAAGTGTACAGCATAGCATATCAATAAAAATATATTCTTTTCTCACTATTTGCTTGACCTAGTCTTAGAGGCCCAGGACACCCTCAGTCCTGTCCCCTGTAAAGCATTTTCTGAAGGGGTATTCTGATTTGGAGAAATATAGAAGCAATAGAGATAATATAATATTGATATGGAATGATATAAATAACATTGGCAAATGTGTTGAGTTTATATCATTTGCTGGCACTTGTTCTAACACAATGTCATTATCTCTCCATTCCCATCTAAGGTCACAGAACATGTCCGCAGCCTGTGGAGCGGTATGGAAGCCATGCCTCAAGGCCACATATAGCCCTCTGGATCCCTGAATGCAGCCCCTCAACCTAATCCAAACTTCACAGAACAAATCCTCTTAATGGCTGTACTCTAATACCTCTCAAAGGAGATGATGATGACATCTTAGACTTAAGAATTTGTGGCCATTTGAGTGGCCATCAGAATGTTCTCTGAGCCAGATTCATTAACAGTGGTTAAGAAAAAGAAATAGCGCAGGTCTCTAGCAAACTTATCCCCGTTTGGGCAGTATAATTCTGCATTAGTTGCTCAGAAATGTAAGCCTAATAAAAGTTATAAGAATCTGTGTGTGTGTGTGTGTGTGTGTGTGTGTGTGTGTGTGTGTGTTTTCTTGGCATTCCTAGTTATCCTTTGAAAATAATTGAAAGCTACAGTGACTTCAAGACTGAACTTCCTTCAGAATAATAAAGGAAAACTTTAATAGGTTAAATAGGCAAAGAAAGAATTGTTTCACTCTCTTTCAACAGATCTATTATGTGTTTCTTTAGAAAGAGAGATAATTCATTAAAAAGGGCTCATAGTCCTTTTATTCACCAATTTAGTCATCTAATCATTCAATCAGCTTAGTGTCCCCCAAAAGTATGTAAATACTATTTAATTTGCTAGTTGGCTTATGGAAATTATTACTTAGCATGCTTGCCTCTGGAAAAAGACCAAATTGGTGGGGTGAAAAATCTATTTAATAAGGTCGTTTCACTCTTGCGAATTGAAACTATCAAAAACATGTCTAAACTAGTAAATTATGCAACTGGGCAAACATTCTAAAAAGTATTTCAATTATAATTTTAAAAAATCAACAAGTTTCCTTGGACTTTTAAAGTAACAGACCCTTACAGGCTCTATAGAGCTTACAAAGATGTCAGCATTTTATATAAGTCTCTTACCTTTTTTAAATGCTCCTGTATTTTGGACTCCACATCTTGGATGTGTGAAATCATTTTGTTGACACATGGTGCTGGGATTTTTACTATAGCACAGCTGCGACGTCGACATGGGTAGCCAAAGTAAATACCTTTATTTACCTCTAAAGATAAAAGACGGAGGAAATTAGTTCATAGTTATAGAGAGAGAGTAGTAAACCTTGACGTTCAAGGTATGCAAAAAATATTCTGCATTCTTAGAGCTAAAATTTCTTTAATAAAGAGGTTGATAAGTATGTCAGAAAATTATAGAACAAATCTTCAAAAAATGTAAAAGCTAAAATAAAATAATCATTTATGACTTAATACTGCAACAAATAAAAATGAATCTGAGATGCCAGAATGAAATTTCAAGCAAAGTTAAAAAGTTAATGAGTTCCATAGTATCACAACTAAGCATTGAAAAAAAAAAGAAAAAGAAAAAGGAGAGAGTTAATCCATTTGTTTCTAAATAGGTCCTGAACTCTTGAAAAATAATTTTGAAATATATTTTCAATACTCCCTTCAAAGAGATCCCACATCTTCCAATGTAAAATAACATCCAACTACTCCTGCATTGGAGAAGTTCTTTCTTAAATCCAGCATGAGTTTCTCTTGCTGAAAAAAATAAAAGCCGGTCTCCTTCATCCTCATAATAACCTCATTTTCTACCTTCCATTTCTGAAAATTGGAGTCTCATGCGAAGAGTGATTGATGTTCTCACTATAGCATTCAAGCTGTACTCATCATAAAATCCACTCAGTCCGATGTGCCTCAGTGATTCTAATCCTGGCATGTCCCAGATCAACTGAAGGTTGCAGAAGCACAGCAAAGTTGTCCATGAAACTCTACCAAAGTGCTTACTTGCAGTCCTTTTGACTCTAAGGACTCTATTGGGTTGGATTATAGTTGCAATCAGTGACCTTAAATGGGAGACACAAAATATCTGCAGTGTCTCAATGACAACAGTGTGATGTTCTCATTTCAGTTGACCTTGGGGGAACACATACATAGATATGTATTTTCAACTCTGTAATAGTCAAAGGCCCATAGAACAAGGTGGTGAAAATTGTCTATTTATCTCTTATCCAAATATCTTGATAAGGGTATTCTGTCCTTCTATCTAGAAATAAGACTTTGATAGACATTTAATAAGCAAGCAGTTGCTGTTATAGTCAAACATTTGTTTTGCCTCATTAAATGTGGGGGAAGGAAGGATAGCAATGATTCATTTTCTATTTTCTTGACTGTGCAACTCAACTTATTTTGTGAATACTTATTAATTTCCATGACATTCCTGTGGTTTAGGATTAAGGTTTTACATATAGTAAAGTAGGGGGAATGAAATACTATGAAATTAAATTTGCACCAAAATCTGTAAAAGACCTGACATCGTAAGTAGTACAAGATAGAACCAGAATTCAGGAAGTTCTTAGTACTGTTTTTATTCCAGTGGAGGTAGGGCATAAGTAAAAACTTTCCATTTAAAAAAATTTTACCCAGCATAAGGAGACAGCATTATTTAATCAAAAGATCACTGAATCAAGTATCAATGTTCATTCATTTTTTTTGACATGACTGATAATTAACTGTGCATCTTTAGTTAAAACTGTTCAGTCTCTAGACCTCTGATTTCTCACTCAATACATTAATGTGTTGGTATATATATATAAGGTATTTTTCACCTAAAATTACATGATACAATGAATTAATGGTTTTAGCCAAACATAATTGGTAGAGCTCCTTCTCATGAAGCTGGTGCACAAGTGGTCAGGGTGAGTATTTAAAGAAGTAAGCTCAGGCAGGACTCCCACCCTTTCTAAACAAACCCCAAACTCCAATTTCCTTGCTCAGAATTAATGCATGAAAGACAAGATCTTCCTGGGTCTAAGCTGGAGTTGAGGTTTGCTGAGACTCTGCAATATGAAACTTCCATTTGTGGAAAAATATGGACTGGCTGATTATGTGGGCAAATAAAATAGAAATACTTTGTTTATAAACTGTCAACTCTCCCCTGCTCAATGAATTTGATCCTTCCAAAATTTAATGACCTGGCCTCAACGATTTAACATGTCATCACTACAGTCCTTCCCTTGCTTCTGTTTCTAAAAATATGCTCTTTATGTACATCGCCCCAATTATTCTAACATCCCTTTATCTCAACTCAGCACTTTTAGGAAAAACTTAGCTTTTCACATTTTTATCTTCTTTAACATCTTTGTTTTCTTTCCAAAATCTAGAATAAGTTAGCTCTTTTGTGGTTACAAATAATTTCTCCTCCATGCAAAGGCTCTGTTGTAATGAACAGAAAGTATCCTTAATTTTTTATGAAAACAAAGCTCGTTTTGTTTTTGTCATATATGAGAGAAAATTAAAAACAGCTTTTGCTGACATTAGCGTTATTGTATTTTTATTGGACCATAGTTGTTGGAGACACTTATCACTGAATATGTAGAATAATATGCATTGACTCTCAGAGTTGCTCAGTGTTCACTTATTGCCATTGTCTTCAATCTTTTCAAAATCTGGAACTTCAATCTATTTATTTTTGCTTCCCTTGAGTAATCGGTAGGTAGATAGCGAGGGATTCAGGGTCTCCTGGGAATGAAAGTGGATGTCTTGCCTTTGATGCTACCTTGAGCAATTGCCCCACCTGAGAAGAAGGACAAGGGTGCCCCCCCCCATCTTGGTGCTGCCCCACCTTAATTCTGTCCCAAGTGACTGCCATACCTGGGAGAGGAAGGAATGCCCTGCCAATCTACCAATCAGAACTTAGCACACTAATTGCAAAAGAATGCAGAGGACTCTCTTAGCCCACAGGCCAAGTGGCATAGGTACGACAGAGTCTGAAAGGTGACTTAGGATAACCTAAGGCTAATTTTCATGTCATTAGCTTAAATCTACAATGCAGTTTACCCCACCAAGTGCTTTCAGAGAGGCTCATGGGAGATCCACATTTGCAGTAAGAATCAGGTGATATAACTCCCAACTGTTCATTAAAGAGGTTCTACAATGTTGCCTGAACCACAGGGAGGTACCTATTCAGACACCATAAAACAGGACCCATAATCAACATCTCTTTTGCTATGACAAGGGGCCTGGTTGTCATCTGTGGTGTATGTATCTTGCTCTGTAAACCTATATCTTGCTATTGCTCTATAATCCTATCTTGCTCCCTGTCAATACATTTCACCTTGTTCTTGCCTTACTTTAGTGTGTCTAGTCATTCTTCAGCCAAGAGCACACCAAGAACTGAGAACACAGAATGAAATTGCCAAATCCGACATAATCACAGGTCTCCCAACTACCTTGCCTGACCATTTCCTGTAGCTATTGTTCTATATTGAATTTGCTTTGACTAGCACTTTTTAAAAATTTTTTTGAGACAGAGTCTCACTTAGTTGCTCAGGCTAGAGTAAATGCCATGGCGTCAGCCTAGCTCACAGCAACTTCAAACTCCTGGGCTCATGCAATCCTTTTGCCTCAGCCTCCCGAGTAGCTGGGACTACAGGCATGTCCACCATGCCGGCTAATTTTTCTATATATATTAGTTGGCCAATTAATTTCTTTCTATTTTAGTAGAGCGCGGGTCTCACTCTTGCTCAGGCTGGTCTCGAACTTCTGACCTCGAGCAATCTGCCCGCCTCGGCCTCCCAGAATGCTAGGATTACAGGTGTGAGCCACCACTCCTAGCCAGCACATTTTTTTTTTAATGAACAGTTTATATGTGCTGTCACAATATTCTCCTGTCCTGATCTTTTCTTCAAATTACAATATCTTTTTCTTTTTTTTTTAAAGGGTCAGAAAGCACCCACGGGTCTCGAACCCCAGCACATGGATTAGATGGATGGAAAGTCCAGGGTGAGGAAGTAACCACTTGAGCTAATGCCGACCCTCAAATTACAATTTCTATGCAAACATTAAGATCTATCTCATATGGCTCTTTCCCTGTGAGGAATTCTTGAATCTTTCAGACATTGGGGTGCACTTACATTACTTTCAATTTCTCTTTATTAGAACTGATCATACTACATTCTGCTGTTATCACATTTATCTGTTTCCCCATCTTCCCCATGAAATTTCCTCATTTATCTTCCCTATGAAATTTTATATTTTTTATGGAGGAGAGTAACTATACTTAATGTCTTCAAATAACTGTCAAACAAATTAATGAATAGATAAATTCTTCTTTGTTTTCTTACCCTGCTATAATCTGGCTCCTGTTTTCTTCACTTCCTGGAAATGTCATTCTTACACCCCACTAAGAAGTATTTCCACCACTGTCCACGAAGGAGTAACTGATAAAAAATTGCTCTCCAGTTATAAACAGCTCAAAATCTGGACAAAAATTATGAGACACTGTTTTTAGACATTGGAAATTAGGCAGTACAATAGGCACTTTGATTCCTGAGAAAAAGGAAATTTATGAAATTGAGATCCATAATCACCAAGTTCTCTGCCAAGGGACAATTTCCCAGTTATAATACAGAGATCTAGGAATAGAGCAGAGTGTGGCAGTCCTGCTGAGCTCAGGAGCAAATAATAGTGTCATAGCAGTGGAAGCATCTGTAAGGGGAGGCAGGAAACTGGAGAAGACAGAGCAATGCAGAGAAGGATCCCAGAAATCCATGTGGAACTGTGTCTGACAAATGACTTGTGTCTAGAATGTGTGGAGAAAATTTACAATTTACTATGCAGAAAGTGGGCATAAGACTCGGACCCTTCGCAAAAGGGAATATACAAATGACTAATAAGCATGTGAAAAGATGCTCAACATCATTATTCATCAGGAAAATGCAAATTTAATTCATAGTTCAATACCACTTCATACCCATTATACTGCCCAAAATTAAAGAGGCAGGCAAGATTACAAGTACTAGTGAGAGGATACAGAACGACTGGAGTTCATACATTGCTGGTGGAAATGTAAAATGGTATAAACATGTGGGAAAACAATTTGGCAGTTTCTTATTAAAGTTAAATATAAACTTACTGTATGACTCAGCATTCCACTTCTATGTATTTACCCATAATAAATAAAAATATCCATAAAAATACCTCTATGTGAATGTTCATAATAATTTTATTCATAAAAGCCCCAAATTGGAAAATTCCAAATTCCCAT